CGGCGTGGCAGCTGCAGCCGCGCTCCGGTGCCCGGTGTGTCCGGGGAGAGCTCCGAGCGTCGGCCGCGGGCAGGAGAGGCTTCCGCCCGTGCGGGGCACGGCTCAGAGTCCTACCCGGGGAGGGGCGGTCGAGGCACGGCACGGTTCCCACCCCACCTACGGGCTCCGGCGGTCCTGCCTGGGGAGCTGGGCTGCCGCCGGCCCGGCGTTCAGCCGCGGGGATCCCTGCGAGAGCCCCGTGTGCCGAGCGGAGCCTGCCGGAGTGCCGCAGCTCCCGAGCTCCGCAGCTGTGCCGTGGGGCTGCGCGCTCTGCCCCGGCCTCTCGCCCCGCTCCCCCATCGGCGTGATGCTGGCCGAGGTCAGCCGAGGGCACGGCTGGCGACTTCAAGCTCTGCTTCCTCCCCGCTTCGCCCAGGTGTCAATGCCATGCTCAGGAAAGTGGCGGTGGCAGCCGCCTCCAAACCCCACGTAGAGATCCGCCAGGACGGGGACCAGTTCTACATCAAAACTTCCACCACTGTCCGCACCACTGAGATCAACTTCAAAATCGGGGAGAGCTTTGAGGAGGAGACGGTGGATGGACGAAAGTGCAGGGTAGGAGGAGACTGGGGCACGTGCATGTGTGTGGGGGCTATGTGTGTTACCAAGTTCTTTCTAGACAGGACAAACACATCTGCTGCCCATGTCCCCGGACAGCGGCATTGCTGTCCTCCACCCTCTTCTTAAGAGAAGTTCTCTAGGGGGTTCTTGATGATCACCACTTCTCTTGTCTGTCTTTCGGGATAAAACTGAAATCTGATGACAAGTCCCAAAAGGAGAGTTCAGGTATCTGGTTTCCAGCTTGGAAGGGTTTAGTTCTGTTTTTGCTTCCCTCTCACCTGAAGACCTCAGCTGCAGGGAAAGCTCTCCCGAGCTTTTGTCCCTGACAGAAATATGGGAAATGGTGGAGCAAGAGAGACCTCAAGAGTCAGGATTTAGTGCATAAATCTGACCCAGCTTTTGTCCTAGATTGAATCAGGTGAGTTCTCAAGCAGGACCACAGGCTGTTGGTGGTTTGGGTCTGAAATCATCTTTCACACCCTTGCCAAGTGCATATGTCCAGTTTGCTGATAGGCAGCTCTTTAACAGTGTAAGACAGGCTTTCAGCTGGTATTGAACCAGCCACAGTTACACCATCTCCTTGAGCAGAAGTGCATTAGAGGGCATTCACTGGAGTGCTTTGGGCTTCATTCTGTGTGTGACACCCTGCTCCTGTACCTTTGTAACCACTTCTGTGGCCATAAAGGGGGATTTAAGTTGACAGCATCTGACAGCAGGTTCTTGCTGGTGTAGATATGTGGGATCTGAGCTTTAGGGATCTGGGCGGTGGTCATAGCTGCATTTTGAAAACTGTTATTGAAGGCATGGGTTAATTATGCTTTCTTTGAGCAGTTTATTCATAATTATAAAGAAATATATATAAACACATATAAAACTCTTACAAAAGAAATACAAATACAGATTATCGGAATGTAGTCTCAAATGAGGATCCAGTTTTAAAAGTATCCAGTGTTGGTGAAATAATCTACTTTCCAAAATATGATCTCTCCTAATTCTTGGGTTGTTTTTTAAGACCATTTTTATCGTTAAGAATTGTTACTGGCTTTGTTAATTTATCTTGTTTGGCAAAAGGGTATTCATACATAATGCATATATGATAAATGTGACCCGCTTTCTAGAGAAGGACTTATTTCTACAGATGGAAAACCAATAATTATGGCTGTAAGCTATGAAAGTTGGAAAAAATTGAAAGAAATGGGTTTTGTGAAGTAGTAAATTTTTTCCATGTGTTGTGAAATTATTTATAGTCCACTCTCAGGAATAAGTTGTACTGCTGTGTGTGTATATAACCAAGATGTGGCCACAGAGCAGAAACTGACAGATAATAAAATAATACCCCAGAATGTAGTTTGCAGTATCTGGCAGAACTGCTGACTGGTAATATATTTTCATATACTTTATGGGGTGGAGGGTTTTATACTGCCAACTAATCCATTGTTTGTGCAAAGAGGGAATCATATGTGGTTGTACTTCAAGGCATAGCTTCTATAACTGCCATTTGAGAAGGCTTGTTGGCTTATAAAATCTATTGTTTTGAAAAATATTTTAAAATTTTACATTTTAAATCAAAGTAAAGAGTTTTTTCCCCCTTGGAAAGTCTGAGAAGTGTTAACTTGAATTTAGGCATACATATGCACACACACAGACTAATAAATGCCTCCCCTGTGTAGTTATAAAGCAACTACTTGAACATTCTCTACAGGGTACCTTTATGCACAGCTGTTCCATTGCACTGTGGAGTAATAGTTCAGTGCTCAAGTGAAAAGCAACAGAGTCAGGGCTTGCCTGTTTGTGAAAGGTAAACAAAATCGTGTAGTTTGGGGTTCTTTTATTTTTCAGTGGTTTCATAGTCATTATTCAAATTCAAATGCTTTGAAAAATGCCCAAGGGTATTTCAATCTCCAGAGTCACAACCTTAAAAAAGTAATGCCACAAACATTTGAATTCTAACAATGTTTCTTTAATTTAGCTGTGATTTATTCTACTTTGTTAGCTCAATGTGTTTACAGTTAGCTTGGCACAGTGCCACAGAGCAGGAAAGATTGTAAGTGACAAATACTGCATTATTTATGACCACAACATGATATATATACAATTGTTTATACTTTTAGGGGACTTTGTAGTGATAAATAACATGTCAGATCAAATCACATGTGTATAAGGATACTTGGAAATGCAGACAGTACATTAGCATATTCCTAAATGACACTTTTCAACATCAAGCATTTGGTGGAAACTGCGTGGCTTCACACTGAAAAGACATTTGCAATAACTTTGTTACTAATATACCTCTTTCCAAAATTCCCCATCACACCTTGATTTTTGTTTCACCGCTTTCCACTGATGATTTTTCCTTTGCCTTTACTTATCTATGTGTTGCTCATTTAGAGGAGCAATTATTCTCACTGCTCATTGTTGTCTCTGTCTCGTGCTGCTGGGGAATATAATTAATGTATTTCCTAATGGTTTTCTTGCCTGCAGAGTTTGGCAACTTGGGAGAATGAAAACAAGATCTATTGCAAACAAACTCTTATCGAGGGAGATGGTCCCAAAACATACTGGACTCGAGAATTAGCTAATGATGAGCTGATTTTGGTAAGAACCTTGAATTCACTCCATACATGCACCATATTAACAGGCTTCTTTGTTACCACATAGTATGAGTTATTGTTTGTCCTTACTTAAATCCATCTGGAAGATTTCCATTTTCATAATCCTCTGCCTTACAATTAATACATTGCTTTTTTTCCTTTCTTTTAATTTTTTGTTTAAAAACATATGGAGATAAATGCATATTCTGACTTGCATTTAATTGTTAAAACTTTCACCATACTTGAACTGATAGAATAATCACAAGTTGGCCACTTCTGCTCTGTAAATTTACAGCATCATCAAAGAATTTGCTTGCTTTATTGCAGATTTTCTCTGGTGAAAGTGAGATCAAGGCATTTGACCTAATTTCTGGAGAATCTTCTTTTTAGGCATGTGCATAATGTTGCTTCTTATCCATGGTCACATGGTATATAGCAGGAAAGATATGCATGTTGTTAGCATGCTTTAATCCCTTCTGTTTATGAAAAATACGAAAAAAATTATTCTCCCGTATCTCTGTCACCTTCCCCAATTCCCTGATCACCTCTGAGTCAGATTCAGAATTGTCTTCATGAGTTTCTTAAAAATACAGAGATTTGTGCATTTGCTGTCAGCCAACACTCCCCCAGTGGTGTGTGAGCTTCCATCTGGCAGCAGGCTGACTGTGGGCATTCTGAGCAGCACCTCTGCAACCTCCTGGCTGTGCCTGCCCTCAGTCATGCACAGCTTGTTTATTCAGATTGTACTTCTGTTAGAGCTCTCTTCGCTGCATCTTTCCTCATTGGTCACTCCACATTAATTTACCAGTATCCACACCTGAGTAAAGACACACCAGCACAGTTCAGCTCGAGTTCAGAATCATTTCATTGCACATATTCTTGCTAGTGAATTCTGGATAAATAGTTGATTAGATTGTTACACCTCATCAGTTTGGACGTGGAAGACAGGCTCCTGGAGTGGTGGGTAAGAAAACTCGAAGCAGGGAGGTTTTGTTTTGAGCTGTCACACTAACTAAACCTCTGCACTTTAACAAACCAACAGCCTCCCCAGTGTTTCTCCAAAGCAGATGGAGTTCTATTTTTAAGATTGCATCTGAAACAAAAACCCAAACCTAACCAAGTATAAACAAAAAGCTTCTAAGGTGTTAATATTATCCCAGACACCTTGGAACTGTTCACCCACCCCTTATGAGGATGTGTGCTGTTAGTGAAATCACACTGGTTTCTAATGAATGAATACTCCAGTGCTGCATAATTTTTTTTACTCAAACACTGGAATTCTTTATATTATCACAAAACTTTAGGAGGCAAAGTACTTTGATCTCTGCTTTGCATCTTTAGGTGAAATGCAGTGGACAAAATATATTCTCAACTATAACTTTTTGAGCTTTCTAACAATACATTTCTGTAGCTTTTTATTTAAGCAACAAGCTGATGAGGCAGCTGTTAAATAAAGTGCGCTGCTCCAAGCAAAGCACGAAAGCTGCTCATAATACAATTGCCTCCTGCAAGCAGCAATGTGAACTTACCCTGCTGGGGAAGAATAATGAAGATGGATAAGATACCAGAGGGATTCAAAGATTTAAAGCCACTAAACATGTTTTCTTTTTTAATACAGTCTGTTGAATTTTTCTGAATTAATTATTTTTCCAGTTAGGATACAAATTAGAACCTGCTTCTTATTAAAACATTTCCATTTATAGGAACTCAGAACTTTCAATAAATTGGTTTACTGGTAATTTCCTTGCCTTAAAATATACACATTTCTTTTAATCTGTGTAAGTGTAGATTCAACTTCCAGTCATTACATATGGTGTCTGAAAGAACCTAAATAATATGCCTAAAATTTGTTATTGCATATAGTTCTCTTAACACCACTGATCAAGCCACCTCTTGGAAGAACTTTCAGACTGTGGAACTAATCCACTGGAAAACCTTAAGTCTTTTGATGTAAATACAGCTTTCATTGAATCATTATTTGAGTGCTTTTTTAGCCCTGTCCAATTTATCAATTTCCCTCCTAAATTAAGAAAACCAGAATGGCATGTACTGTTTTGTTAGCAATCTAGCACCTGACATTACAGTGATTTAATCTCCCTACTCTTACCTAAAATGATCCTGATTTATATGCAAAGGCTTTGTTAATTCTTTTCTGGTTTCCATTTCCCCTTCCTGTCTCTGGCAAGCTGGAATTACATTCATTGGTTGCAATGTGTGATTTTACTGTGGCCATTATGAAAATTTGGTATTTGTTTCCAATGATCCAGATCATTCTTTCTGTGTTTTTTACTATTCAATATGATATACAGTTTCATTCTCCTACCTCTTTGAGCATAGTGGCCTCTTTTGCTTTATTAATTATAATGACATTAATTGGTCCTCAGGACAAACATTTTCAAGCCCTCATGACATTTGGTGGGACTAAATGTACGGATCTTTTAAATACATGGGTTGATGTTAAAGATCTGACAGTCCAAAGCTCAGCAATGAGGTGTTTCTGGGAGTAATGGTGGTGTGAGACCTCTGGTCCTTTGCAGAAGCTGAAATGGCCAAAATGAACACTTCTGGGAGGCAACAAAAAGTTCTACTGTTTGGAGACAGAAGAGGATTAGCTACTTTTCTCTTGTCTGTGGTCCCTAATTTTAAAGCCCTAGAACGTTCCTTCAGGAAATTGGGCTTTAGAAGTTAAACTATTTGAAGTGATTGGCTGAGGTGTGTTCAGCAGCTATAAAAGGGAACAAGGTAGGAATAAGGACCCTTAGTGAGAAGCCTCTTTTGATCTCTTGTCTCTCCACTGTCTCTGGGTTTTTCATCACTACAGTGAACAAAGATTCAATATTAGATTATTTTATTTTATGCTTGGGAAATTTTTTTGGGTCTGAGTTTGGAAACCCCCACTTACATCTTACTTCTTCAATATCACAATGAGAAGATGAGATCTCTGTCTTCTTTCTTCTTCTACCCTCAGAACTCTCTTAGGAATCTTTAGGACCTGAGATTCATTCTCGTTCAGTTTTGCTGCCCTTATTGCTTCAAATATTTAACAATTCCCATCTTCACACTTCTCAAATCTCCCTGCTTACCTAACAAATCTTTTCTGTTCCTTCATTCTCCCTGATGTGCTTCAGTAAGGCTCTGCTTCTGTTTCTCCATCCAAAAAAATCTTTCAAGAAGTCTTGAGATTTCTCATTCACTATTAGATGCATTTGCAGAAGAAATCAAGAAAAGTCATACCCTGTTTGAAAGAAGTTGCAAGAAAGGATGAAAACTGTGTTAGACTGAGGCATGAATTGAAGAAAGGCTTGGGGTAGGAGGCAGGGGTAAGGAATTAGCTTTACTCTGTTGGCTGCATAAATGTTGGTGCTTTGCCAAATAATTTTGATCTAAAATGATGCATTGCTTAGGGGATCCATTTAATTATGGTATTTTCCTAGTGTAAGGATATCTTTTTCTCTCCAACATATCTTATTAAATAAAATTAATTTATTAGCCCATATAATAATAAAAAAAAATCGGTGTTTACTTGCCATGACTACCACAGAGCTAAAATAGAAACCATATTACTCAATAATTTTCAATCTTTCTTGCATCCTGGCAGAAGAATTCCTTATGTTCTTCAAAGATATTTCCTTGGAGTAAAATGATGGTCTTCCAAGTCACATCATGTTCTCTGGAACACAGATACAGAGAATATACTATTTAGTTAGCAAAGGTTTCCTTTACCTTCAGTTGCCTTCAGTTCTCCTTAGCTCCTTGAAGCATAGAGAATAAACTGCTTTTATTAGTAGATAAATAATATTTGTCTCATACAATGACAGATGTAGGCCCAAAGTCCTGTTAGAAAAAGAATTCTTCCAGCCAAGGAAGGGAAGGAGGATCAAGTTCTGCTTTATAAAAAAGATGGTCTGAAAATTTGAACATTGATCTTAAACTAGAACACTGCAACTTCTTTTATCAGACAGAGCTGTTTATTCTAATCTTGCTGGGCTGCACTTGCTGGGATTTCAGCGCTGCATTTTTAGAATTATTGAACAATGTAGATAAAAACTACATGGAATGTTCAAGCAAGGGAGGGTGAAAAGGGTAATTCCCCACCAAAGTCCACATTTATTTGTCTTGACTGTATCTTTATGTTGTATTGTACTTTAGGATTGTAATGCATACACAGAGTCAGGATATCTGTATTTTCAACTCTACATTCATAAACTATATTTGGATTAGCATTTGAGCAATCAAGATGAGAATATAACATGAAAATATGTATTTCTTTTATGTGTTTGAAATTTGTGATCTAGAATTAAGTGCCTTTTCTTCTCTTTATTATACTCATAATGCTTTTGTTGTTGCAGTGTGTTTTTGTCAGGGACATTAATGAGCTATCAATCACTTATGTAAGTCAGAAGAACAAAAGGTTGCTCTTTGCAAAGTTAAAAGATGCTGCTTACAAATATTGGCTATTCAAAGAGACATTTATATTCAAATTAACTTTAGCTACATTGCTGCTTTCATGGCTGCTCATGCTTCTATAGATTTAAGTTTAATCTGTAACACACAAACATTTTAAAGTGGATGATTACTGGAGGAGGGCTTTAAAAACAGCCTCTGAGCACATTTTATACAGTTCACCTATCACACAGGGGTTCTCAGAATCAATTGTAGCAAGGGTCAAAGAGCAGAACATTGGTGGGGGTTCAAGCATGGTTTCTATGCTACATTCCCTCCTCAGAAAAATCGTGCCATAGCTGATTAAACCTGGTGAACTGTGGAGCCTAGATGAGTGAGTGAACATTTTAAAAATGATTTTGCTGGCTTCTGAAATTAAACAGTAGGTAAGAAGGGTCAATGCAGATTTGGAAAGAGATTTTGTAGCAGAATGCTGAAATGCATGATGTGCCTAAGCCTTGTACCAAACAGTGTCAAACTACCTAAGAGTTTAACTTTTCTATAACTTCTGGAGAATGATCTTATATAAAATCAATTATCAAAAGAAGGGTCGAGTCATATCAGGCTCAGATTGAGAGGGTTGCTGCTGTCTTCATTACAGCAGCCTTGACAGAAGTTCAGAAGCCTGTAATAATGCATGTGTGTGTGTTGCATGGACCTAATGCTTTAATTTACTCTTTGCCATGAGCAGATTTACAAGGGAGCTTAGGGATCTACAGCCCCTGCTCACTACTACAGCCTTGTCTGGATCACATCCCAAACAAAGAAAGAAGCCAAAGCCCATTTGCATTTTGGCTGCACCCAATCCTGAATGCAGCCTTTTGTAATATCACTTGTAGCTTAGATGTCCTCTGTGCACTTGGCATTCAGCTATAACGGAGAGATGCCATTGTCTCAGGTCTCTGCCATTCGTTTGCTGCTTGGCTTTGAGGAAACTGTGTCATATAGCAGTGCTCAAACACCAATACTGACATTTAGGCTCCTTGAGAAATCACCTAATTTTGCATGGTGCTGTCAATTGATATCCTGAGGAGCATGAGGTTGTGTATTGGGTGATTTGCTATTAATAGCCAAGTTTGAAAGGGAGGCTGCACATTCAGTGAGTATGGCCTTGTAAGGATAAACTTCTTTTCTAAAATATTATGGGAGTAGGGAGGAGAATGGAAATAGGCAACATGCTTTCGTTGTGAAAATTTATATCTTTACTCTAGATAAATAGATGGAAATTTGCATGTGGACAAAGCCTTTTCTGAGGATTCATTTAGTAATACCTTTTTTTCTCCATCAGTTTGCTGATGGATTCTGTCTTCTTTTGTAAATTGCCTCTGCATTTTGATTAGTCATGAGCAGCTAAAGGGATTTTTGTATACACTGGCAGAAGTGATCTTTCCCAGGTGATTGTTTCAATGACACTCTTCCACATTATACTGTGTGCTCCACTTACCACAAAGGCTCCTCAGCAAATGTTTATAAAGAAGGCCTTCAAAAAGCAGATTTGCTCCTACAGAAATATATTACTGCCCTGTAATTCTCTTTTAATCTCTCATGATGTCAGTGGTCATCAGATTTTGAGTGAACTGAGAGAGGTCAATTTATTGGATTATCCCCCTGCAAAGGGCTTTGTTTGCAGTGTGCCTTTGGACTCTTAGCTACAGATTATGACAAGCTAAGAGAAGAAAACAATTCTTTAATTTGCAGTCATTGCACATTTAAAATCCTATTTTAGATTTAGATAGAAGCCTTGCCTTGTAGCATTTTATGAGATAAATGGGATCTTTCCAAGCCAATGAGAAGGTGGTGTTTGGAAATCCTGCATCTTTTTATTACATTTGAATTATGTTTTGGTAGTATTGCACCTTTTTTGAATAGCTCTGATGGAACTTCACCACCAAAATGCTCATTCTCTTTTCATTTGGAAGTTCTACTGCTTTGGGTCATGGAAATCTTTAAAGTCTGATTATTTGAATAGGAACTATCACTTCTTTTGAGTCTAGAATTAGAACCACAGACACTAAACTGCTTTATCCTATCACCGAATAGAAGGATTTAAGTGTGAAGAATAGAGGAATAACACCCTTTGGATTTGGATCCTTCCCTTACCTTGGGCCCAGCTGTACATTAGACATTTCTGTGAGTTACCACAGGAAAAGAATGCAGCAAGTTTGAACATGTTCCTCCTTGCTTTCTTTAGTAACACTGAGTGGAGTTTTATTAACAAATGATAGTCACAGTAAGATAGGAACACACCTTTTGTTTAAGTCCACATTTAAACCTGTACATAACTGTGACAATAAAGCCCTTTATTTATGTGCTTCAATTACATTGTTAATCATCTGAATGTGTATTAGGTATGAAATCTAAGTGCTAAAAAATGCAGCTTATTCTTGAAACAGGACAGAAGCCACGTGAAGGTGGGTCTTCAAGGAAAGGATGTTGGTTGTTTTAGAAGTGCCCAGTGATTACATGGTACTCCAGAATAATTGTAATTGTGCTTTGCTTGATTTCTATCTCTTTGCAGTCTAGATTTAAAGACATTATTGTGTTAAATAATAGTGGTTTTCCAGACTGTGAGACTGGTGTGTTGAGGAGTCCTTGTATGTAGCATTTGATTTTTTTAAATTTGGGTTCCCTGAATATGTCCATATTTTCTGCACACGATTTCTATCCAGATTAATTTGAATGTAGTCCTTTGCCTGAAATTTTCAGAAGTCCAGAAGTCTAGCTGGAGCTGGATGTTGGAAGTACAAAATGAGGATCCTGTGTCCTGTGTCACAAACACACTGAGCTGTGACTCTCTGAGCGCGCAGCAGTCGATCTGCGTGCTGCCACTCACCCATGCTACTGAGCTTTCCCAGAAAGTCTTATGTCATTTTTCTTCCTCCACAAATGTTAATCTTTATTTCCACACTCCCTCCTGTGAATCTTCCAGGGAAGCTGCCAGTCAGACTACACTGATGTCTTAGGAGCAAGCTCTGCCCAGGAGCACAGTCTTAGAACTGGACACTGCAATTTCAGACACTCAGATCTACAGTGGCTCCCTTGCAGTATGAATCACATCTATTTCAACCTACTCTTCCCTGCAGTGTTCCTTCTCAACAGAAATGATGATCTGTTCTGAGAATAACTGCTGCTGCACAGCTTTAGAGGAAGGAGTTTCTCTCTTCCCTGAAAGAACAGAAATAAATTTGTCAGGGAGGTTATATGAGTTTTGGCAAACTGCTGCTGCAGCCTTTCTCATTAGAGCTGGCTGATGTGGTACCCACTCCCATCTCACAGGGTGGCTGCATGGCTGTGCAGCTCCAGACTGGGGCTGTGCCAGCTCTGGGAGAACATTGCACAGGAACTGTTTTACTGCTGTTTATCATTTGTGTTGAAGTAGCAGCAGGGGACCCAAACCTCCCTGTGCTTAGCAGTGCCTGAATGTGAAAGACAATCACTGCTGCAAGGGTCTTACAGTCTCCACAGAAAACCTTGAGCCCTGGATGGTCTTGACTCTTACCTCCTCTCTCTGGCAAAGTTCCTGCTGAAATAATTTTGCCTTTGTGGATAATTTGGAAATTTCGAAGGAAGACATAATAAGGGTATTTGCAGCTGGTGCTGTGGACCTTAGAGAACTATCCATATCTTTAATGTTCATTTTCAGATGTATTCATGTATAATATAAAAATATATATTAAGCACTGATATGATATTGATATGCATAAAAACGAAGTCTGTATCTCCAAAATACTAGTAGACTTGTGTCCCCAACAAAGTGAACAAAATATAAGCCAGAGTTTTAAAGCTAAGTCTTTCCAAAGTATTGGCCAAAACATGTGTAGAAAGCATTAAAACAAATAGCCCAGCTGAATTTTCATAATGCACTGGGGTAGCTCTTAATGCATGCTTTTCAGTGAGACCTTGGCAGTGACTGCAGCCAGACATCCCACCTCAGAGCTTGTTAGTGCTGAGCTCAAAACCTTCTGTCAGCATAGCTGAATGTGAAGTTTTTTGCAGTCTCTATTTCCTCACTCTTGTCCCTATTGTTTCCTTCATGCTTAATTGCTTAAATTTTAGCCTGCCAGACCTGAACTTGCATACAAACACTTTGGGATTCAGTTGTCTTTCTCAGGCAGTCCTACAATCACTGTCCTGCCTACATGTCCTGATAATCTCTAGGGCATTCCAGCTCCTTATCATGGATAACAAACTCATTGGTTAAGGGCACAGTGTCCTCCTGAAGGAAGATTGTCAGTGACACTGCCCACTCTCCAGAAGAGAGTGTTTGGTGTCCCAGCATGGGCTGTCAGCTGCTTGCAGCAACATTATATTTACAGGTGTACATTCTCCTGGTCTGCATCTTTCCTCCAATGACTTCATTTGCCTGCTTGGATTTATATCTGCAAATATCAAAGAATACCTTTGGAACGTGCCATCTGAATTTCACCCTCAGCATTTCTAGTTCAAAGTGCTGCAACTGTTTCTAAATATAACAACAGTACATTCCAAATTCACTTTATTTTCTCATGTTTATTTATCAATTCATGACAAGAAACTACAGAAAAAGAGAATTTATGCATCATTTATCATTCTGACAAAATCCATCCTGCCATGAAAAACAGGTCATTTACATTGCATTCCTCTTTCAAAATTACTTTTTTCTTTTCTCTCATCTGTCAAAAGACATAAGAAAAAGTATTTCTGCTATAGAACTAGTTACTTTAGTAAAAATAACACTTTGAAATTGTGTTAAATGTTTGCTGGTTCTATCTCTTCTGATTGATTTTTATTTATTTTCCAGACCTTTGGTGCTGATGATGTTGTGTGCACGAGAATTTATGTAAGAGAGTAAAAACATCAATTTACTTGTCATCTGGGATGAAGTGTGAAAACCCCCAGTATAAGGAGTATCTGTGTGTGCTATTACTAATGCGGTATTGTATGTGACCATGTGTGTTATATCTTGTGTGTTTTGCTTTCAGTTTTCATTTCAGACACTATCCCTTCCCACTTTGAATGCCATCAATTTTCATGTCTGCTTTGTATTTTGTAGTTGTCACTTGCTATGGTTTCCTCAGTTATTAAACTTATTGGGCATAACTCACAGCTGTTTGGGGGTGTTTTTAATTGAAAAGCCAGCAGTGCTTTGGTTAGGACTGAAACACTTTTTCCCCTCTGCTGAAGTCAGTGTGGAGTTTCCTTGCTGTAGGCAGATCCTGAACTGTCAGGGAACACCTCCTAGGGCATCACAAAGGGATGGAGAGCAAGTGGATGGCAAGGCCTTTCACAGAGCTGCAGGCTGCTCTCTTGATCCCAGAACTCTGCTTCTTTCCTTCTTCCTGTCCTCTCTCCTTCTTTCTCCTCTCTCTCTCTTGTTCTCTCTTCCTCCCTGTTAAGGAATAATTAGTGTACACTGTGATTGCTGGGATCAGCTGAACCAGACAAAACAAGGTGAGGTCTCTTCCCTTTCCTGCTGTGTCTCTGAAGAATGCCCAAACTTCCCTGTTGAGACACACAGTATCCAAATACAAAACCCAGCTGCATCTACGGGACAAATAACATTGTGATCATGACTAACACTTGTTGTCATCACATCCAAGCACCTCAGGCCTGACCAGAGAGCCAGAAGAATCTGACAGACTTTACTTGTTTTGGCCATAAGAGAAATAAAGCTGAGAAATGCTGATTTTCTCCTACCTTCTCACCTGTGATGAGAATTTCCAATGGCTTTGCTCCCCCTCCATGTAACAACTCTCACTTCTGGTGATTTGACCTTTCATTCTTTGAGCAACTAAGTGTTTCACAAACCAGGGCAATAGCTCAAAAATGAAAGAAACACTAAATTTAATGTATTTATTCTGGCTCAGAGTTCTGGCTGCAGCACTATCAAGTATGAGATTCGAGCTGAACAGAAATTCCACTAATGCACCAGATAGTCTTCAGTCCTTCAGCCTCAGAAGTGTCTGGAAACTGAGACTCAGAGCACTACTTATTTCACTACAATATCCAGTCTTATCTGACCAGATTTTATCTTTGTAAGAATAGTTTTTCTGCTTCATGTCACACAATAATGTAAGATTTTTAAGAAGTTCAGTGTTAGCAGATTATATGCCTTGTTCAGTAGATTTTGCTCACTACTCACAAAAGGAAAATAGGACCAAAACTTACTCATCTTGAGACATCCATGATAAATTACTCTGTCTCTTCATCCCTCACATAGCTATGCAAAGAAATCCCCTTTGATAGGCCTGCCAAACTGCCATGGAGAGCTCAGCCAGCTGTTCTATTTATTGCAGTGTGGCCTACAGAGGCACAAGAGGAGAGAAACATACAGTGTTTTCTGTCTCCTCTGCTCTGACAGATCATGCTTACTTTCTCTGCCATCAGGACTCAAAATACCATATTGCAGCTGAAAAGAGGGTTCTTTTCTTCCACACTCTAACCTTAAGCCAAATCCTGCTTCCAAGACCTTAGTTCCATTGGTATCAATTAAATAGGGTACATGCTGTCGCAGACTGAGGCAGGAGCTGAAATTAGTTCAGTGAGGTTTGCATACAGCTGAAGCTAACCCCCACTAAGAACAAAACCAATAGGGAGGATGATAGGGATCTATCTTTATTTTCTATCTTCTTTTAAGATTCAAATTAAAATAGTTGGGTGTTTTGTTATAAACAAGTTCCACTTCAGAAGTATGTGGATCTGCTTGTGCAATCAGCTGTCCCAAAGGGACTCCACAAAAAAGTGCCAGGCTTTGAGCTCACTCAAAGCTGCTCAGGGATGCAAACAAAACTGTCTTGCCACATAAAGGCTGAGCAGCCAGTAACACTGTGTTGCAGGACATGTCTGCACAACTCATATCCCAGAGCACCAGGAGCCCAACAGCACCACAAAGGCTTTGCCTCCACCTCCAAGAAGCCAAGAAAAGATGCCACTCTTAGCAATTACCTTTTCCACCAGTGTCTAAAACTGCCCCGATGCACAGCTTGTGAGGGTTCAGCCAGCTATTGGCATGAGCCTCACACTGTCTAAAGCCAGTGAGTGCATTTAATGGGAGCAGGGATTTCTGTGTTTCATTTCTAGGAAGGTTCAAGCTAAGCTGTTGTGCTGCTCAAGCAAATGTCCTTCAGAAAACTTTCCCATCAACTGGAAAATACCGAGTCAGGTTTCCATCCAGTTGGCAACTACTATCCAAGTAGTAAAGTGTGAGCTATGTAACGAGCTTGTAGGAGTTATGATTAAAAACAGGCTCTGGAGATATGAGCTGCCCTGAATAACTGGGAACTTTCTTCTTCCTTGCTTGAAGCATGACAGAAGTTCTTTTCTTTAATAATTTCAGTGTGGAAGCTTCACCATTTGATTTACTTTTGTGAAGTTACAATAAACTTACTGGTGCATGGGTAAATTCCTATGAACAGAGACAAGAACTGGTCCAGGGTGTTAGTTTTATGGCTCATTGTTGAAAGTGCAAAGGCCAAATTGCATTTTGTGAGTCCTCTTAGATTTAAAAACCTTCAAATCTAGGCACTCAAGGATTTGGTGTGAATTTATTGGCCAAAAGCTTTGCAGTTGTCTCCTGAATTTTTTTTTATTGCTGACATTTAGCTCCTTTGGGAACACGGAAGTTGAATAATGGCCAACAGAGAGAGTTTTATCCACTTTTTGTGTAAAAAGTCATGAATTCACACCCACACCCCTAGATGAGGTGGCAGAAGCAGAATTACTGTAGCTTGCATCCACAAAAATGAAGTCTCATGATATCTGAGTGTTATATGGTTACTGAGCAGAAAGGATCCTGAAAGTTTCTCAGCACACAGGAGGGAGGGACTTTTATAGGCAAAGGTGCCAGGACAATGGAACACCTAAGGGTTACATAAGTGGTTTGTTGATTATTTGATAGCATGTGGATGTCTGAAAAGGGCCCCAGGGATTTCACAGATATTGCCTTCCAGATTCAAGTCAGAGAGATGCTGTCTCTGGCTCTAGGCAATCAGGGACAGAGCCCAGCTCACATTACATGTATCAGTGGGCAAGCAGAAACTTCCCTTCATACTGCTGTGTTCTAAGCAGCACTTTGTCACTGGAAACGCTCTGAGGTGTCAAGCACTGACTGGTGACAAACATGGCCCACCTCTGTCAGGATGGCTGTGGATTGACCACTGGATGCAATAGCACCATCCCCTCATCTGCTGTCTTGCACATGCCTGTGCCCTACAGGCCAGACTGCTGAGCTCTGCAGTGCTCCATGCTGATGGCCAAAGGACTTTCTGACCACAGAAACCAATGCATGGGGGAACCTTCCTTGTGAGTGTATTACACACTACAGTTCATGCTTGAGAGCATTTACCCACACAAAGGCAGCAGAATGCAGCCAGCTAAGGTGAGAAGTCTTCCTCCTTGAAGTTTAAAGGCTTTGAATGGATAAGCCTTTGAATGAAAGTCCTTGAATGGATACAGTACAAGTTAGTATTCGGTATTATGTCTAAACATAACTTTCTACAGCTATTTTAGACATCCTCTGTATCCAACACATCTGTACAAAGCAGAATCTTCAGGGGAGCTGTACCTTTCTTTGGAAGGGCAGCAGCAGACCAGGGACAAAGCCTGAGTGCATCACAACTGGGCTGACTGTGACTGAGCAAGTGACTGCCAGCATCTGTGCCTGCAGGCTTGGAACTGAGCACTTCACCTTCAATGCTGACAAGCAACTGCTACAGTGAGACAAAGAGACGGTTTTTTTGGGTATCTGCAGCAACTTGGTACATGGGTAATGTTTCACAAGACTTGCCAACATGAGTGGAACAGTAGGATCCAGTGGCCATGTTCTCTGCCCTAAAGCACAGAGTTAATTTCAGTCTTTTCTTTTGATTTTCCATCATTTATTCTTAAGCTGCTTTCATAAAACATGTATTGTTTTTGTTCAGGAAAAATAAACATCCTAACAAATAAACAGATCAGACTGTGAAGTTGGATTCAAAATAATCCACAGTGGGAAAATCAAAATATGAAAAAAAAAATTCAGCCAGAAATGTGATAGTGCATTGAATAGTTCAGTTCACAGATATCTGTCTCACCAGCTCTTTTTGTGTGGATCAGAGCTGTCCCACTGCATGCTGTATGCTCTGGAGACCTAGTGCTGCTTTAGCTCAAATGATCACTTCTTGCACACTGAGTGCAAACAACGTTTCTGCTAACAGGAAGCCCCAAATCCCACATGGCTGCATTATCCAAAGTCTTTGAATAATTTTAAAATACATGCTCTCTGAGCACTGCCATGTCAGAAGTGGAACAACCTCTGCCAACATGATCTGTGACAGGCAGAGTTCTTTGGCCATGTTCTCAGAACAAAGAGGAGCATGGCAGCTAAACTCTTTTACAAGCTTGGGTAAGATTTGCTGTTAGAATTTGCTGTATGGTCACACACTGCAATGAAAGAAGAAGGTGGTGAGGCTTGAAATGGTTTCTGCAGCAGACAATACCAGAGTCTTCTGCCAGATATTGCTCTCTCTTGCACAAACGAGCTGCTCAAGCAGAAAGGATGTGACAGCCTAAGTGACTCTCTGAACTACAGATCTCTTAAAAGCCCTGCAGATTTGTATCTCAAGGTTAATCTTCACAGGATGTTCATGTGGAGCTGGGGGACTGATTTCATCATAAGTCTGATGAGTTCACAGAAAGTTTTCAAAGGGATGGAGCTTTCATGTCTAAGTAGCTACTGGTGCTGAAAGATAAAGGTGCAATTGGAGTTTCAGTGTTCTTAGAGAATTGCAGATAGGAATAGCTGTAGTGGGTCAGTGTAAACGTCTTCTCCAGAATTTGGTGCCTAAGACTCTTTCCTGAGACTTCTGTGAGCCTACATATCAAAGTTACTCAGAAAGATCTTTTGAGCACTAGTATATAGTCCATGGCAGTGATGAGATTCTGCTGCTTTTAAGATGCTGATGATTGCTGAAGTTATTGCTTTCCATTTCTCTTGCTGCAGTTGAGAGATTTTTAAAATGTTCCATATGTGGAAGTTTATGTACAACTGACACTGTGCCATAATGATGTGTAGTGAGCCTGGAACATCTAAATAATGATATTAATTTGCATGATCCTCCATAGGGTGT